TATATTCAATTAATTGCTAGGAAAGTTGACCAACTTTCCTATGCTAGAAAACTATCTTACATATTTGTAAGTCTACTATTCATCCAGGCTTTGAATATTGCTTCCACATATGGTCTGTTGCTCCTGCTATATATTTTAAGATCCTGGATGAAATACAAAGAATCTGCAATATTATTGATCCTGACCTGGCATCTCAGCTTCAGTCACTATCACACTGCTTTAACATAGCTTTCCTATTCCTTTTCTATAAATACTTTCATGGTAATTCTTCTGAACTCTCCCTGATGGGACCTAAATTTTATGAATTTAAGTGCACTACAAGATTGGCAGTTAGGTCTTATCATTTTACAGTTGAAATGGCTAGAAGTAACCGTAAGTTCTATAGCAACAGTTTCTTTTTTTTTCTCTTGCACTTCTCACTTGTTGAACTCATTTCAGTTTCTTGCTTTCCAGTCAAGTTTGATCTCCAAAAATTTAAAGGCAATGTCATTTCTTATTTTCTGCATTCTTAGTTCCTACTCTTTTTTTGTTCTTGTTTCTTAATGTTTTTCTTTTACTCGTATTCTTTCACACTCACTAATCCCCTGTGTCTTAGTGGCTTTATAGAAATTATATATATAATAATAATAATGGACTCTCCCATCGGTTTCGACGTATGAGGATCTGACAGCTTTTTGATTCAGTTATGAAATTTTGCGCGATAATCTTAAGTGGCATTTAAGACCCGCTAGTTATTTACAAAGGAGGCCAAATATGGAGCAAGTGTGAGGATTGTGAGATTTGATTAGCTGACCTTTTAGATCTTGCTCTCACTTCTTGAAGATGATTCAGACAAGTAGATTGAAAATTGCTGAGTCCACTAAAACACGTTGATCTCCATTCTCCTCGCTCCAAGGCTAAGCTCTCAAGGGTGTTATGTGGTAACACTGGGGTCAGCACCCACAATCCGTTTCATACTTAATCACAATTTTCAGACATTGAAGATTGCATTTAAGCATTAAACAGACTGTCACTATTGCATGTTGACCTCAATGTCCACTTCTATATTTACATATACTCTACGCCTTGTATTGAGCACTTTAACCCATAAATATAGCATGCTTTAAAATGAGATATATATATGTATGCATTGAATACTGTTGCCATATGGTCTGGTGCTCCCACTGTTCATCCCAAGGTTCTTGACAAAATCTAAAGACGGACATGCAACGTGATCAATCCTGACTTGGCATCTCGACTCCAGTCACTTTTTCACTCTCGTGATGTGGCTTCCCTGTTTTTTGTACAAATATTTTTATGGAAACTGCTCTGATGAGCTATTTTCACTGGTACCCCAACTGCATGAATTTAAATGTGCTACTAGGTTGGCATCTCAGTCCCACCCTTTCATTGTTGAAACAGTTAAATGTAGCTGTCTCTTCTACTCCAAAGCAATGAAAAGAATGCTGAAATGCTGTCTGATATCAATCCTCGTCTATGGCTGTGAATGCTGGACAATTTCATCACAGATGAAGAGGCGATTTGAAGCAAGAGACACATGGATCTACAGAAGAGTGCTGCAAATGCCATAGACTGAACATATGAACAACAAGGAAGCTTTTTAGGAAAATGGGAACAAAAAGGACACTTATACTTCGAATCACAAAGACACATTGAAATTTCTAGGACACATAATGAGGAAAGAAGGCTAATGAGCCAACTGCAAGTAAACGACCTAATGATTTTATTTAAATAGATGGGAGAACAAGGAATGGGACAGACAGTAAAAAGACAAATATTTTGAAGTATTACAGCAGTGGAAAGTTAGGATAAAAAACCTCAAGATAATAAATTCTCCACAAAGAGATAAAATCTTAAGATCACTTGATCCAATAGTGGGTTAATATTATTATTATTGAATATTTGATAAAGCACTGCAAGAAGAGTCACTTCAATCTGAAGTTATCTAGTAAATTGGTGTGAAAAGATTGAAACTAAAAAATGAGGTTGAATTACCCCCCCCCCAAAAAAAAGCATTCATTTCACTCAAAACTGTTATCAGCAACAAGGTTTTAGAGAAAATGGAAACAGAGAGGAAACTTATATTTAATATCAAGAAGAGGCAGCTGAAATTTCTGGGACACATAATGAGGAAAAGTAGGGCTTGGAAAATGTGATACTCACCAGACGGATAGAAGGGACAGAGGAAAGCAACACGTAACACACTTAATGGACTTCAGCAAATTGATTGTAGATGGTCTGAGAGAAATATATAAAGAAAAGACTTAAGAGCTAAAAGTGGCACAAGGTTATAGACAGTCATGATCACTTAATTCATGAATGAACATGATACATAAAAGGTCATTTAAAATAATTACTTATACTTCATTTGAGATCGCATTGTTTTTTTTCATTCCTGCATATTCTTTTTCAATTTTTACAAGGCTCTATTTTTTGGGTATAAGATTACTTATTTGGCGTCAACTATAAATACTTATTAACTCTGACACAAGATCACCAAACTGTATTTGATATTAGATCAGTGAAACAATGAAAAGAATGCTGAAATACTGTTTAATATCAATCTTCCTCTATGACAGTGAATGCCGAACAGTCAATACATGGATCTATAGAAGAGTGCTGGGAATGCCATAGAATGAACATATAAGCAATAAGGATGCTTTTTAGGAAAATGGAAACAAAAAGGACACTCTGACTTTGAATAACAGACAGTTGAAATTTCTAGGGCACATAAAGAGGAAAGAAGGCTAATGAGCCAACCGCAAGTAAATGACATAATGATTATTAAATAGATAGAACAAGGAATGGGACAAGCAGTAAAAAGACAAATATTTTGAAGTATTACAGCTGTGAAAAGTTAGGATAAAAAACCTCAAGATTTGAATTTGTATCCCATATTATATAAGTACATCTTACAAGGATGAAACTTTAATTTGGCAACAACATTATCTCACTGTGCCCCTCTTCAGTATGTCCTGTGTGTATCATATTCTCCAACTCCTCTTTCCTTATCATGTCCCATTCTTCTTTACTTGTATGGCAGTGAATGGATGCATAACAAGATTGACATTACATAGCGATTCGGCACTTTTTTTTCTTTTTCTTTTTTTGTCTTTAACAAAATTTTACTTTTTCTTGATATTTGGTGGAGCTTTTTAGAGAGCATCAATATTTTAAAGCATGTTCATATTTTGATGTCACATTTTCTGTCGTCTGTCAAAACGCAACCCAAATGTTTGAATTTCTGTACTTGCTTGATTTTGACGTCTCCAATTCTTAACTTGCATTTTAGACTGTTCCTCACACTGCTGACCATACATTCAGTCTTCTAATTGATAGTCCTTTCTTCTTACTTTCTTTTACTACCTTGTGTAGGTGTTCCTGGAGTTTTCTGTGTTTTCCATCAACACTGTGTTGCCTTATGTTTCTAAGATTGTACCGACCAATAATAAATCCTGATAGGACTCTTAGTTGTCTCAGGATTGTAAAAGTTAATTAAATATAATGAGAAGACACATCCATGGGTTACACCCCTTGTTCAGTTTATTTTTCCGCATGCAAACAGTTGTCTTCTACAGGGTGTCCTGCAAAAAACAGGAAATTTGGTACAGTTTATTTAATTATTGGAATTTTTGTGGGATATTGTTCTATCAACACAGTTTTTAAGGATTGTATATCTGTAATTGATGTTGATGTAATGGTCAACCCCACATAATAATTTTTTTTTCATACAGTAAATTTAAAATTTCCTGGTTCTTTGTAGGGTATCCTGTAATATGTTCTGGATTATTCTAATCTCTTTCCCAAGCTTTGAAGTGGAAAACTTGTCAAAAGTTAATAATAATAAAAAAAAGTTAGCAAATTTGGACCTTCATGCCTGCAAAAAAACAGTGTCAGGGGGACAGTTTTTCCATTGTCATCACTATTTCAGCACTCATCACTCCTCAGCAATGTTTGTTTTTAAAAAGCAATGATTAGACTTGTAATAAAAACTAAACCTATGATGAAAGTGAATTTATACACTTTTGTTCTTGAGAATTTACAACAAAAATATTAATTACTATTTATTAGATTTTATTTAAAAGAATAATTTTATATTTACAACTGTCTAGAAACTAATACAATAGTATTATTTACCAATTTATAAAGAAACAAATATGAAAAAAATATTTATTCTTTAATGTGTAAACATTTACTAAATTATTAAAATATGTGAACCAATTATAAGGAAATCCTTATTATTTACCATTTTATAAAGTTTAAATTATTTGCCAATTAGCTGATGTCTTGCCACCCTTCCCAATAAACTATAGTGTAGATAAACAATCTAATTAATCAGTCAGTTATCTGCCATGCGTGATACATGCTTAGGTGATCATGTATCTTTCAATACATGACTGACAAGGAAGATTTTTTTTTCCCCCACAGTAGGTTGCCATTTCTTTTTGCAATAGGCCAGTTTCCATCCAAGGCTATAGAAACCGGTCTGTCCTGCTACTTACCCATAGCTGAGGGGAGAAAGAAGAGGATCCATACCTTTCTCAAAGATATTAGCATGTAAGTGAATGGTAATGGATTTCAAACTCGGCTCTCCAATTCCTCAATCCGAGCTGTTATCCATTACTCCACCATACCTCCGCCTATCCCACCTCACCTATAGAGAGTCTATATGTAGAGGCAAACGAACCCCCATTACAACATCCATCCATCCACCATACCTCCTTATCTAATAATGTTTATTATTTTTGTTGTAAATTCTCAAGAAAAACAAAAATTTATAAATTAATTTTCATATGTTTAAGTTTTATTACAATTCTAATCATAGCTTTTTAAAACAAACATTGCTGAGGAGTGAAGGTAGTTAAAATAATAGTGATGTCAAGGGAAAACCCATCCTTTTGACACTTCACTTTTTTTGGTGGGCACGAAAATCTAAGCGTCACCAAAAAGCTGACACTATAATAGAAATGACTTAAAACTATTTTTTTTTCTCTCCTCAGTTGATATGTCGAATCCAAATAGTGAATGTGATGTCAGGACTAACCTGCAGCAAAAGACCTTTTTCAGTATACGGATTTATGAAGTGCTCTTCATCTCTGCCTTTTTCATTTTTATCTATTGTATCTACCACACTGGCATTGTTTTGTGGATACTTTCCTTTAGCACAATTTACATGGCCTACTGTAACCTCGTGGCGTCCAACACAGAAAACCTTCCAGTCGATGATAAAGCCGTGTTTATTACAGGCTGTGATTCTGGTAAGTTTGTTTTTTTAATTGAAACTAATTTCTTTTCTTTCTTTGAATTGTTTATATTTCTGTATAGTAAAAGAAATTTAATAAAGCTAAACCTTTTGTATTTGAATGTAGCCGTCTCTTCTACTCCAAAAGCTTCATGTCTCACACATCTCGCCTGTGGAACTCCCTTCCCTATTCCAGTTTCCCTGAGAGCTATAATCTCCAACTATTCAAATGTAATGTCAATTGACATCTCCAGTTGCTTTGATCTATCCACTATCCTTCTCCTCATCCTTTCCTCTATCACTCCTATCTGATCTTGCTCCAAATCTTCTGTAACCCCTTGCATCCTAGTGGCTTCCCACCTTGCTTGGGGTGAAACGCTTAAAAAAAAAAAAAATAAATAAAATAAAAAAATAAAATTTCTATGGAATATATAGATGAGATTTTTTGCTGCATTACAAGTGTGTCCGAGAAGCAGGCGGCAGTGTAGTGCACATGTATCCGAGGAGCAAACAGTAATGTGATGCAGAAAGAAGCAGTAATATCTTGTCCGAGTTATGAAAGAAAGTGATAATTTTTGTCTGAATTTCTGGAATGAGGCATTACTATTATTTAAATTCAGACTAATGTTCTCATCTTTGTTACTCTTGCTTTGCTTAGGCCACTATGGTCATCAATCAGTCTCCATCAGATGTCCATTTGATCCAAATAACCTTCAGGGAATTTCAAACTGTAGCCTTTATTTAATCTGGTGGCATAGATTATTCTCATTCCACTGTCCAGGTTTAGGGATATCTTGTCTATTTCTTATTTAGTACTACTCAATTTTTACTTGCCATGTTTTTACTGAGTCTGTACTACTCAGTCAAAGGATTGAACTCACAATTGTTGTCACCAAATTCCTAATCCATTAGGTTATTATCCTGAGGAGCAATCAGATATACAGGTGCTATAAATGATAGTGGCTCAGAATGAGAAATTGGACAGCAGTTCAATTGAAGTCAGTTTTCTTACATTAACTTACACACAAATACCCTTGAGAAAAGTATGAATCCATCTCACCCCCAGCTATGGGTTAAATAGTCGTATTGGAAAAATCATTGTTATTCTCAAAAATAAATTAATACAATATAAAAATATTCTTACAATTCAAAATATTTTGCTTTAAATAACTCATAAAGGGTTAAGCTATAAAAAGTCAATTAAAAACTGGAACAATCCTCAACTTAAAGCTTACAGCCTTAAAACTAATGTTGTTCTATACTGCCTGCAGCTGACACGTTTGATTGCATTCACCATGGCTTCTCCTACCTTACTGCAGCTTCTGTTAAAATTTTTGTCATTTCAATGAACACAATGGCCAAAATTTTGTGGTAAAAAGAAGAGTTAGTCCACGTATAAATAACTCCACATACCAGAAATTGAGAGAATCTATCAAATTGGTAAAGACCTAATAATGTATCAATGGAGGCATTTGGAAAAGCCCCATGAGAAATTGACCTGACATTCCCATCCAGATGTAGGGGACCTAAAGCTTGTTCTACTGGTCTTATCAATCAAGACATCAGTTAGTTTCAGGAGTGCACAGAGGGATGTGGAAAGAGCAAGGCACCCTCTTATGAGGGAAGGATTTCCAAATACTGTTGGAAGGAACATCAGCTTCAATGTGAACTCACAGAAGAAATAAGGACCTTTCTTAACATCATAAGAAACACTTGACTCAGACAAATACAGAATCCACCAAGATATAACATACAATGAAGAAATTGAAAGGGTCAAAGTTCACAAAATATGGAAAGTAGAACAAATAACAAGGGCTACCTTTGGTTTGCTAAATGCAGTTGTCAATATCTGCTTTTAGCAGTTGAGTGCCTCTGGGGAATCACAACTTCATATTACATATATAGTGATTTTCCAGGGTAGCTCAGATGTGGCACAAGGCCGAAAGTATGGGGTACCCATTGAGGATCGAACTCACTACTCAGTCGTAATTGTTCTAGCGAGACAAGGTTGCTAACCATTACACCACCTCGAGTTGCCCTCATATTACATATATATGGTCTCTACAACCTACAAAAAGTTGGTATTCTGTTCAGACTGATAGTCAGCTGCAGGAGTTCAGCATGTAACCTGTTGAACAGATTCCTGGTGGATATTCTTATATCCTTTCAGGGCGTAGGCAATCATGGCTCTCCACTTCCTCCTGTCCCATGTAGCTCTCAATAAGTTTTGTCTTTTTGTTATTTCTCCTAGAGCTTGTTCTGCCATCAATTTGCTCAAGCCCATCAAGTATATCACGAGTTGCTTTCTGTTGTCCCTCTATCCACCCTGTGAGTATCATATTTTCTAAGCCCTTCTTTCTCATTACATGTCCTAGAAATTTCAGCTGCCTCTTCCTGATATTAAGTATAAGTTTCCTTTTTGTTTGTATCCTCTCCAAATCCTCAGCGGAAGTGATGGCCTGGTTTGGGTTCAAGAGTACCATAGTCATGGACATTTGGAGGAAGTGGAAGGCATTTGAGAACAAGAAAGGCCCACAACATTTGTTCTTTGGCTGTTAGGACTGATGTGTTCGTCACTGCCGTCAAGGAGACAGTTGACAATGACGGAAACCAGAGCTACATCAAGATTGCCGCTGACATGGGCTGTCACAAGTCAACTATCTGCCAAACGATCAAGAACATTGGTTACTCCTCCTACCGCAAGTATCAGTGCATGCCCATCACTAATGGCCCCAAGGAGTCGAGGAAGGTCAAGGCGGTGGCTATGCTGAATGAGCTCAAGCATTGGTCCGCCGGGATGCTGAGGTTCTTCTCTGATGAAAAGAATTTCATCCAGGACCAGATGAGCAACAGGCAGAACGACAGGTGGATCTGCAAAGACATCGAGGAAGTTCCCATCGTGAAGCATATGAAGTTTCCCTCCTCCGTCATGGTCCTTTGTGTCATCTCCAGTGAGGGTGACGTCATGCCTCTGTTCTTCTTTCAAAAGGGCCTGAGAATTACTGCTGAGATCTACCAGGAGGTGCTGAGGAGTGTGGTGAAGCCCTGGATGGACAAGATTGCCATCGGACGCCCCTATGTCTTCCAGCAGGACCCCGCTCCTGCTCACAAGGCCAAGACGACACAGACGTGGCTGCTCAACAATGTTCCTCACCACTGGTCGCCGGACTTGTGGCCGCCCTCCTCACCCGACTGCAACCCCCTTGACTATTTCTTCTGGGGTGTGATCGAGGCCAAGACCAACAAGCACAGCCACAACACAGTCGACTCTCTGAAGGTTGTCATCGTGGAGGCATTCACCACTATGGACAAGGACATGGTTGCCAAAGTATGTGACTCATTTTGTGCCCGCCTTGAGATGGCCATCACCGGCAGTGGCAGTTACATTGAAAAAAAAAATGTAGTATGTAACTCTAACTATTGCTAAATAAACTGTCGGGTTTTCTGCATATACAACTTTTGTTTTTATTGCCTATTTCATTTTCTTTTTGTCAAGTGTCAGATTTTGCTGCAACACCCTGTATATTGTCTCTACAACCTACAAAAAGTTGGTATTCTACTTAGTCTTGAGGGGTTCGACATGTAACCTGCTGAGCAGATTCCTGGTAGATATTCTTCTTTTACATGCCATGTCCATTCAAGTTATAGGTGATCATGGCTCTCTATTTCTTCCTGTCCCTTGTAGCTCTCAATAAGTTTTCTTTTTGTTATTTATCCCAGACCCTATTCTTCTGTCCATTTGCTTAAGCCTGTTAAATATGTCTCATGTTGCTTTCCCCTCTTTCACTCTATCCAACCTGTGAGTATCAGATATTCCAAGCCCTCCTTTCTCATTACATGTCCTAGAAATTTCAGCTGACTCTTGCTGGTGTTAAGTATAAGTTTCATCCTTTTTTGCATCCTCTCCAAAACCTCATCATTGCTCACATGTCCAGTCCATGGCATCCTTAGCATCCTTCTGTAGAACCATATCTCTGTTGCCTCATGTCTCTTCTTCATCCAACATTCACTGCTTTAAAGGAAGACAGATATCACATAGTAGTTCAATCCTCTTTGTTACCAATGAAACCCAACTGTCTTGCAACTGAAGACTTTTACTCAAAAGTTATCAAAGAGCTGCTTGATAATTGGCAACATATCATTGCCAATAATAGTGAAGATATGATTGAATAATATGTACCATATTTTAGGGCTTACAAGACGCAATTCTTTTCCGTTAAAAAAAAAAACCCTGAAAAATATATGTGTGTCTTCCAAGATGGATGTAAGGCAACACCCAAGCTCAAATAAGCTTGCACGGTAGCCTAATTGGCTTGAGTCATTACACTATAATGTTCGCTAATTCAGCCTTTTATATGATGTAACCTCAGTACTTAGCTGTTACAAGTATTTCCAAGACTATAAATCTTCCTGTTGCTCTGTTTACTGGGAGTGACAGGAGCCTTTCTGCTCTTGACTAGTATGTCATTGCCATACAAACAAAATTGGACAAGTGATTAATAATGTAAAACAATACGTGGGGCCAGTATGTGAGGGAATGTGTTGTTGTATGGGAATGACTTTTTTTTTTTTCTTAAAAATTTCTTTCCAATATTAGGTTGCGTCTTCCAAGCCAGAAAATATGGTAATTGTATTTTCTAAACTTTTTTTTTTTTTTAAGAATGAAGTTGATAAATTAAAACAAAAATTATTTATAATTCAAGCTAATATTTTATGACAATACTTGTCTCTCTAAACTCAACTCTTTTTTATAAGGTCTGTATATTCTATTTTGTTCTTTTTAGGATTTGGCTTTGATCTTGCTATGCAACTCCTTGCCAAAGAATTCATAGTGTTTGCCGGATGCCTAAATACAGAGTCAGCTGGAGCACAAGAACTACGGGATACAGGCTGTACACACTTGCATATAATGAAACTTGATGTCACAGATGAGGATTCTATCAAGCAGTGTGCCAACATTGTCCAAGAAATCTGCGGCAACTCAGGTATAAAAAATATTTTTGTCTAATTGATTTTTATCACAAATTGCACACCACTGATCTAGTGTCTCTGGGAGATAACTTTTACCAGATCACTATAGTTTAAGTTGGGTAAATACCATTTGCCAAAGATTTCTAACCTCTATCTGTTTTAAATGTAGGACTTGTAACGTTGCCATTTTTTTTTTTTTTTTTTTTTTTTGGTGGGGGGTGTATACCTTGCATGCAAAACATATCCGAATCCATTTTAGCCTTTTTCTCATGTGTTACTCCAAATTTTCATTTCATAAGTATTTTAAGTGGCTACAGTTAAATGTAAATGACAGAACTACCAAAACAAACAGAATTCAATAAAGTTTGCATCACCCCTGTCAGCTGGGGCTTCAGAATGCACAGACTGCACCTCTGCAAAGGGGTAAAACACACCCAAATGAGGTGTCCTGGGTAAGATGATGGACTACATCCAACAGCAAGGCCTCAGGAGGTTGGTACCACCTCTTAATTGCTAGTGCTCCCAGTTAGGGCCCCAGCTATGGGTAAATAGCCAACCCCCAAACTAGGGTCAAAACTCCATGAAAGTGTAAAAATAGGTTTTAATACCAGCAATATATTTTTGAAAAAAAAATATATTGCCAGCAATACATTTAAAAACAAAAAATATATATATTACCAACAATACATTTTTGTAAAACTATATTACCAGCAATAAAAAATCTTGTCAGCATTAAATGATCCATCGTGGTTGATATGCCACCAAACAAGACAAAACAAACCAGAGTTTGCAATAAACAACAACAAGAAAAGAACAGGGCAAAAAATAATATTAGGCAAGCCAATAATATATGCAAGCAACAGTAATAAAGCACAAAATTAAGAATTGTTGTTGACACATGAGAGCAGATTCCGATATATGACTGTAGCATTCTGACTTCAAGACAGAATCGGGCTCTCTCATTAGCTCAGAAGAAATCCCAACATGAATTTGTGGTTAGTCTATAAATTGGGGAGGGAAAAGCATTTTAAAGTCATTCCCAGTCACTCCGACATGGGGTGATAGTTAGCAGGCTTGTCTCGTTAAATCAATTACAGCTGATTAGTAAGTTTGATCCTTACTAGATGCCCCATACATTCGGCCTTGTGCCACAGCTGAGCTAAGCTTAGAAAATTGCTATGGGATACCTTGCTTAACAATGGTTAGCAATCTTGTCTCACTAGAACAATTATGGCTGAGTAGTGAATTCGAACCTCACTGGATGTCCCATACTTTCAGGCTTGTGCCACAGCTAAACTACACTTAGTAAATTGTTATAGGATACCTGTTTTTTCATAACTGTAGCCCTTGTTTAAAAAAAGGTTGATGTGTATGTATCGATGTATGAAGGTATTTGTAGAAAAAATAAAGAGAGAGGTAATGGAAGTAGAACAACCAGCTGCCCACTTACTGCAAATGATGATGAGAATTTTACCACTTGAATGGTGGCTTGATTTGAATTTGATAGAAATGCAATTGGGTTAAAATATGAATAGATTTTCTTTTTTTCTTTTCTTTTTTTTTTTTTTTTTTTTTTTTTTTTTTAAACCCTGTCAGCCCTAAAGACATTTCAATTGTTAAATCTCTGGAGTAATGATGGAATTATTGAAAAATCTGAGTGCTATGTTAGTGCAACTAAATTGATATATCTGAGAAACCACGGAAAATTAATTTTTATAAGTTGATTTTAAATGAAAATAAATTGATTTCTTTTTCAAATGAAATTTAGCCTCCTTTGTATGACTGGTTATGAGATATGGTTTTGGAACTCTACAACTTATAAAAATTTACAATTTCCAAAGAGTTGTCCATTCCAATGATCCCTACCATCTCATGAGAAGAAGAGGAAAGGGAAAACGAGAGATGTTGAACAGGAAAGCAAAAATGGAAGAAGACTGCAATGTCACAATTGGACAAAAATAGACGAAGAAACAGGTAGAATACAACTGAACCAAGTACGAGCATCCCAGTTCACAAGGTGAAGAGAGAATGCTAAGGATTCTTTCCCACTGACCTATGCAATTCAGCAGTTTCTGACCTGCGATTCTCATGAGCTGTCTATTTGTGTGACATCCTCCCTCTCTTCTTGAAGTATAGAGTAAACACCAAAAGGGAAGGGAAAAAGGGATGGTGTCAACCAATCAGAGTAGGGGGAAGGGAGAGGTGAGAGAGAATGAAGAAACATTGGCCATTACAGAATGCAATAAAATTCCAAGAGATTGTTTTCTAAGTTTGAGAATCCTTTCACATAGCCAGAAGATTTCTGAGAGGAAAGGATTGACAAACCAACAGACAGTGGAAGTTCAAGGCTCTTCACTTTGTGACTGCTTATTGCGCTAAGGTCTTCCTAAAAAGAAAATGACAATAATAAAGCAAATCTGACCACAGAAATTACTAAGGACTCTCTTCCTCCTCACTATAAAGTTCCCATCAGTACCCCAAATCCACTTAGTCAATTCTATCATAGACAGTCCTGTACTAGTTTCACCAAGAACATGATTTTTATGGTACTACTGCTACAAAGGAAATGCGGGAGCTAGCACCAAGACCTTTGGTCCTCCCAAAAAGAAAATGACTGTACCTAACAACATCCTGCTATTAGGACAAGTGTATTTAGATGAATAAAGTCTTTACTTGTCCCTTGTTCATTTGATATATAACTGTCCCCACAACCTGATGTTCTGGAAACCACTATCAAGAAAACTGTTACGAGTCTCATCTTGCTTTATCACTACTTCCATGGAAAGTTCTCAGACGAACTACATTCCTTGGTTCTGCCAAGTTTGACCTCCACAGCTTGGACCCACTTACATAGTAGCAAGCCACCCACATTATCTCTCTATTCCATTGGTAAGAAGTTCTATTTGAAGAGCTTTTCCCCCCATGAACTATACTGCCTATGGAACATTAAGAGGATGTTTCCCTGATTGCTACACTCTTAACCTGTTCAAGTCTGGTGCCAACCATTGCCTTCCCCCTCCTCCTCCTATCCATATTAACTACACTGCAACGTAACCTTCTACCTTGAGTGGCCCCAAGCCTTGTACAGGATGTACCTTACTGTAAAATTTAAAAAAAACGACTAACACTCTGCTTTCAATGGTAGCAACATATAAAAATGTATGACCAATAAATTAGCGCTGTTGTTAATGTGCACACATCATCCCAGAAGAAATTTCAATTCTTATATCTCTTGAGTCATGACCAAATTGTTGAAAAATCTGAACATCAGGTTTACAGCCATATCATGTTGAAATACTGGTTCCTGTATGGTCTGGTCAGTCCTTAGATGGATGACTGTTTGGGAATACCAGGTGCTATAAGCTTAGATACATGGGTGGTGTAACAGATAATCTGAGAGCCATGTTCCAATTCACTTTATATTCACTCATGCCCAAATACCCTTGGGAAAGGTATGAATCCACCTTTTCTTCTCCTCCCAATTATGGCTTAATTAGTAAGTCTGTAAGATTTGTATCACTAAATCATTATTATCTAAAAAAAAAAAAATTCCATACAATCCGAAAATATTTTCTGTTTTTAAATAACTTGCAAAGGGTTGATTAGCTGCAGAAAAACAAAACAAAAACAAAAAAAAATGAAAATAAGTATTTACAAGTTGTTTTCATATGAAGGTTAATTGGTTTCAGATGCTACCAAAATTAGCCTGCTTACATAGTACTAAGGTTTTAAAAACCTGCAACTTTCTCATAAAAAAAAAAACATTTTGTAGTCTAATTTCTAACATTAAGTTAAATTTAGGGTGATGCTTCATCCAGAGTGATAGGTGCAAGGCACTATTATATTGTTAACCTTCCTGGTGATTTGACAGAGCTGTGTCTGAAAATGGTATGAAATATCTTAACTTGCCAGAAAGCCAGCATTTCCCAATACCACTTTCCAATATGCGTCCATCTTTCAGACAACCAGTTAAATGCTTTACAGCAATCAAGACCTTGAAGACACTATCCCATTCATCAACATGTTTATTGAAAGCCAAAAAGGGTGAAACTCTAGGAAAAAAAGAAATACAAACTTGAGACTAGTCAGAATAACAAAATAATGAAATAAAAAGAATAGGAAAGAAGAAATATTCCACAGTGGCCAATGCCTGAATGAGTAAAGGAGGTAGCAAGTACTTTGCTTACAAGCATATGTTATATAGTTTACACTATTAAGTTGAGAGAAAGGAAGAAAGTTACATGACATTGTAGGGTATTTGCCAGTTATTCTTGGTATTTATTTACCAGAAACTTTGGAATAAAACAAACTGTGGTGAAAGGTATAAAAAAAATAATAAATACTGGTTCCTCTGGTGGTACCTTCACCTGTTCGGGTTCCTCTGGCGGTACCTTCACCTGTTCGGGTTCCTCTGGCGGTTCCTTCTCCACAGCTGTCAGTTTATATCCCTTTGAGAAGGCACCTAGACTACTGGCACAGATCTTGGTTTTGGTTAACATCAAATATTATGGTGGTTGTTGTAAGAATGGTAAGTAAGAAAGTTTTATTGTAAGGAATACTGTGGCATGTTTTGGTCAGTAATTTTGATTTAAGACAATACAAATCAAAGACCAGCCTTCCCCTATCCCTCCTTTCGGCCTTGTACTACATTTTTGTATTTTTCAAACTAAATATTGCTCTCCTTGGTATCTTGACCAAGTCTTGCTAACCAACTACCCATGATCTTGAAAAATTTAAATTCAATGCCAGTTGCCATCTCTGTCTTTCTGAACCTGTTCTTTTGTTGTCCTTTCTCCTCACTAAAGTCTCTTCCCGTTCTCTTTCACTCTCAGTAAGTCTTTGTGTCTTAGTGACATTATCACCTTGCTTGAGGTAAAATGATTAAAATTTTACTTTTTAAACATGTCTACTTTAATTTTTAAACCTGTTCTCGGTAAGATTGTTTTTTTTTAAAGTTTCAATTGGTGGCCATTAAAGGTCACAAGACCTACCAAGCATGGTACATACTAATTAG